ATAAGTCAAGGTACCTTGCATTGCATTGTATACATGTAGATTAGTTTTAACTTAGTTTATTTTATGTATTGAGGATAATGCATCCCTCAATTTTGGGGGAGGTAGTGTTCTTATTAGGTCATTTGCATGATAGTGTTAGTAGAATTAATTTGCCATAGCATTAGTAAGAATTAAGATAGATTGTTTGAATAACTTGATGATGCCCGATGATTATGAATTCTTATGGTTATTATGAACTGAATGTACATGAATTTGGAGTTGAATAGGATTTGCTTTAGGACTTGGTTGTTTGTGTGTTTAAATTGTTACACGATTGTATGATCTCTATTCTTAGGAATTTTTAAAAAAATTAGGAAAGAAAGCTTGAATACCTTAGTGTGTATTAATGAGAATGAACTTAATTGCTTAAATTAAACTCCCTTATATATTTTTAATTTTGGTTAATCATGAATAAATGCTTCGACATAACTGTAGAGGAACACTCTTCTTTGCCATGACATTACCTGAATACCGCATTTTAATAAATGGAAGCCATGGGCATATGAGTGAATGAAATTAGTTACGGGATGACTCTACCTAACTAGCTCGGGGATGGAAGGTATGCTCCCATTCATCTAGAGTGTGGGATAGTAGTTGTGATATGCTGACTCCCTTTGTAGCAATGCTAAAAAAATCATTAAGTGTTAAGGAAATGGGAGTAATGAACTTTTGCTTAAATTTGAAAACATGTTATGGCAGAATAATAAACTTTCTTTAGAATTTTTCTAACTTGACAAAGCATAGATTGGATACAGTCACACATACACACTCACAAAAGACCTTGTCCTAGGATAATATTCTTGAAACCTCCACTTGTCTAACTTGTTGAAGCCAATACATTTCTGAGGGCTGAAAATCTTTCCCACATGTGTGTCTTGAAACTGAACTTTTCCATGACATTTTTCTTTTGCTAAATACTATCCATTGCTTGAGGACAAACAATAGCTTAAGTTTGGGGGTGTGATAACTCAGTAAAAAGGTTATCTTTAGGGTCTTTTCACTTAATTTATTATTTATCTTAAAGAATATATAAGTTCATATAGATGCATTTAGAAGCATATAATTGCATTTGGTAGTTTATATTTGTCGTGGCATATTATTTTGTAAATGATGCTATTTTATGGGGATTGTTGTGTTTTGTTGATGATGTGTAGGTTAGTGAAGAAAAGAGTGAGCATGGAGAATTGTTGTATTTCCAAATGGTGAACAAAGGTGAATTACCAAGGTAATTCAGGATTACTCATGTGCGTAGAAAAAGACAAAATTGAAGAATATATTTTTATGGGACCTGTCAGTTGTCTTGCACTCACGTGTTGCTTGTTGTTAACCACCTTGAAGGGGACCACAACCACATTTGCACTCATTTTTACGTGAGGGGAATGTACCTTAGGGTACTATGAGAACTTTTGCACTAAAACCTAGGGTATTCCCTAGTATATATAGAAAAGGTGGCCACATAAATTAGGAGAGAATTCTTTTAGGGAAATAGTGAGCTAAGCAATAGACGATCGACAGTTCTCAACTTTCTTTCTCCTTTCATCTTTTCATCTTTCACCTAGTGGAGAGCTAGACGTCTGAGAGGAGCTAGCACGCTAAGGTGTCGTTCGTGGTGGTCCGATAAGCAACCAATACCGTGCGTTGAGAGTGTTCTCCACCCTTATGCTTCATTTTTTTTGATTTATTAGGTTGTATTGTTTGTAATATTGTCATGGATATTTTGAACCCTCCATGAACTAAACCTTGTATGGTGTGATGTTTTATAAATGATTAAGTATTTTCTTTAATGAATGACTTGAGTTTTTATGTTTATCTATTTGTTTTGCTCATTGTGCTTAATAACTTAGGATTGTAAGAGCTATGAGAGTAGTGTTTTCTTAGGTAGAACACTTAGTGTTCGAGAGAAACTAGGTGAAAGATCCTTAGTGTTTGAGAAAAACTAAGGGATGATCGACGTGAGTAATGGGATTTAGCTACAAACTAAGACCTAATCCACCTTAGAGATAATGATAAGATTTTAATAACTAAAAGGAGTAGTGCTTATTTGATAGGTTTGATGTTATTGTTCACACTGAGATGTATTGTCGTAGCATTTTTATCTGTCAGGTCTCATGACTAGAGATAGCGTAAGGGAACTCTTAGTAAACTCTTTCGAACAAATAGATCATAGAAGCTTGAATCATTCTGAGAGGAAAACTTAGGATTCCTTAGTAACCCCACCTTCATTCCCATAGTAGCTTGTTGATTGAGGATTATCAAGTTTGCTTATTTATTTCTGAATTCTAAACTCGTTTGCATAACATATCCAGTTGTTTGCATTTCAAATACATATTCAATTGTCACGACATTTCCATTTGCTACACTGCCACATTGCCATCATATTTCCATAATACCATTAAACCCCCATCCGCACAACTTAACTTGAAATTTCCTCCAATCCTCATGGGAACGATACTCACTCACTCTTTTTACTTGTGCAATTGTGTATACTTGCACATAATTTACGTCCAATTTATAGTCCTCACAACACACAACATATATTTTAATATTTATTGATATACAATAAAAGAGATAACAATTTATGGTGATTGTCGTCGAATGACCATTTTTTGACGAAGAATCGATGATGATGATATAATTAATCCTTTGTATGAATGTTATGGTGTGGAAGGAAAAGAAAAGAGAAATAGTTCTCAGACCTCTCTATGAGAAAATAGAAGAGTGTCCTCTTTTATTAAGGGAGAAAAAAATTTCCTCTCATTCACTTCTCAATACATATAATGATAGTTATATAGTGACTTTTGATAGTGACTAATGAGAACTCAAATAGGTCTCATATATATTAATTATTTATTAAAAATGTATCACTTATCCTGTGAGAAAGTGTATACAATGACACAATAAATTTAAAATTAAGTGAATATGTTTGAGTTAACAAAATCTTAAGGTGGTTACGATAATGAATGGTCCATCCCTTTTGATTTAGAAGGAGAACCATATTACTTAACTCTGACATTAAGCGTCTCTTATTCATATGATCAAAATTAGGAACCTTAACCATTCATAATAAATTAATTTGTTAATTTTACATTATTTAAAGAATATCTCAGTACAATTAAAAATCAACAAAACATCTTAAATATAAACAACTATAGTATGGTTGGGAACATTTAACAGTCTTTACAACTTGATCTTTGTTTAAAATAATCAAATTAGAAAATATGACTTAAATCTATAACTTATGCATAATACAGGGGTTGATAACATAATTTGACTTAACATATTTAACTGTCTTTATTTGGGTTAGTAATGATACTTAGGGATGGCAACGGGCCGGGTTCGGGCCGGGTATTGGTCCCCCCGTCCCCGTTCCCGTTTAAAAAACCGGTACCCGTCTCCATTTAAAAAACCGCAGGGATTTAAACGGGGATACCCGTCAGGTAATCGGGGAAAATCGCGGGGAAACAGGTATCCCCGTTTAGCATAAACGGTTATTTAAACGGGTATTAGGCCGGGTATTGGGTCGGTATTGGGCCGGGAATCGGGCCGGGTATATATATATATTTAAATTAAATATATATTTTTATTTAAATTAAATTTATTAATATTATATATATATATATATATATATATATATATATAATTATTTTTAATATTTATCGGGTCGGGTATCGGGGCGGGTAATCGGGCGGGGATTACCAAACCCGTCCCCATCCCCGTCCCCATTTAAAATAAATAGGTTTTCTCCGTCCCCGTCCCCGTTTATCATCCCCAAACCCGACCCGTTTAATTCGATTTTCGGTTTTCCCCGTCGGATTCGGGTTTTTTTGCCATCCCTACTGATACTTAACTTTTGAAAAATACATAACTATAATTAATCAAATTAAATACCGAGCCTAAATCAATAACTTGTGCCTAATACAATCACTAACGTCAAGATTTAACCTTTAAAAAAACACTTTCCCATTTTATTTCTCCTTCTTTGCTTCAAATTTGATGACCTAAATTGGTGAATTTAACGTGTAGACCAAAGCACTCATTGTCGTCACTAACAAATGGTTGGGAGGACAATAATGATTGACTTTCTTACAAGATTAACAAACTATTTATTGCTAATTAAGGAGTACAATAATGATTTACTTATTAATTTTCGTCAAGTAAAAAGATGAAATTTATAACTAAATTTAAAAAGTATATTTTGAGACATGATTATGGTAAATATATTTTGGGATTAAAATATAAATAAGTTTTATTAGAAAATAATAAATCATATCAAAATCCGAAATTTATTTTATTTATGAATAAAATCAAAAAAATAACTTGGATAAATCTTAATGTAAAGTTGTGAGATAGAGAAGTAGGGAAAGTAGATTCCCACAATGTTGGATGGACTAATACAACAGGAACAGATTCTCACCCTAAATGTAAATGCCACCAAATGCCCAGTATTTCCACTTTTGGTATCAAATCTTGAACCCCCATTCTTTCTTTGCCACTAATTCATGATTCAGGGATGTTACAGATTCAGACGTTAAAATTATTATTTGAAATATATATAAAAAAATACTTTCGAATGTTTTGAATTAAAATTTTATTATGTACATGACTACATAGTGTGAATTTTGATATTCGAATTAAACTCGTTTTCTTATTAAATTAAAATGATTATAAAATAATATTTGTTTTAAATACTCTTGATTAAGATTGTGCATAATTCAATTGCTTATTAAAAGAAGTGAGATTGAGAATTGAGAATGCATGTATATTGGGCCATTATTCCAAGTTGGATCAATGTCCTTTCTAGTCAGCATCGTGTCACTTTCACTTCAATAGTACATTTAAAGCTCATAATGACTAATGTGAACCCCTTTTGTAGGGCTTTGCCCTTTCTCTAAGGCCATCTTCCCTTTTATCAACCAAATATCAAAGATTTCATCATTTGTTCAACCTTTGAGACCACATACTTGGATTAAAGAATATCTTCGTTCTGTGCTGTTTGATTCATTTGTAACACAATCAACTGAATGTAAATGAATGAAAAACACAATTGCACAGCATCAGAGTTACAATGGACTCCGCCGAGACCGAGGCAACGGAAGTATTGACGTGTTGTTCCGGCTCGATACGTATCAGACTATGTTACGGTTGAATGTTGAAGTAAATGGTGTAAGATTCATCTCTGAAACTGTGCAATGGTGCCATAAGGAAATTCCTCTGTTGCCCTTTTGTAACGAAGCTGATCGGATGGTATTCGCTTATTCCGCTGTTCATTACAAAGCTGGTTGCCTGCTCGAATCCGGACTCGGAGGGTGCTGAATTGCAGCTGAGCTTCATGCCAAGACTGGAACTATAGTTTACACCGCTATATATGTAGCACCCCTCTTGGCTTACAGATTCCAAGGACACGCTATTACCATTTCCATCCAATCCGGCAACTAAACGAAAACTAGAAGTTGCATCGCTGTTAGGAGAACCGGTAACTGCAAGGTTGTTTTCCGTTCCTTGATGCACTAAAACCATTCCTGGCAAGTCAAATGGCTCAAGCTTAACAGTTTTACCAATGGCTTCTCCGATGGTTGAAATTTTTTCCGGTGCATCATCAAAGATGAACCTGAATGTGGCATGCAAAGCAGCATCGGTACCAGCTTCAGGGACCTTCTCCATTTGGATTGATTGGTCTGAGTTTGTTATGACAAAAGTCGAGTCACCCGACTTCTGGGAAAAAGTAACAAGATGATTGTTATATGCAGCAGGAACCGGAGTTATCCAGTCCGTAAATGAAACTGTTGAACCAGTTTTAATGTCCCAGTCACCACTGCTATAACCGCTAAGCAAGTAAGGACCATAGAGTATTGCCTGAACAGAACCGTATTCAGGTCTATCATCTGAAACATTATCTAAAGAAGTTAAAATTTTGCAGATTATAGAACCACTTACAGATTATAAGGAATTCGGGAATTTATCATACAACTACAATACCTTTAATCTGTTCGGTTCTCAGACTAATTGGCAACTGAAGGGTTAATTTATCTCCAACACTCCATTTTACTGGTAGGAAGGTACCTGAAACAATGCAATTCGTAGTACTTCCCGTTGTTCGTATAAAATAGAAAGAGAACACACAAAAACCATCGGCATATTAACGGAACCGACTATGTTCATAGTAAAGAAGAGCACCATGTTTCATACCTGGTGCTGGTATGGCTATATTCTGACCATTTAATGTTGCCTTGGCCCCTTTCAATCGAGTCCAGATTGGTACCCTTAAATTCAAGGTAGATGATTTCGCTGCTCCCTACATAAATAAGATTCCAAACGATAGATATACGTTTACTTTCCATATTATAAGTAATCAAGTATGTGCACACTTGCATGGAGTTGAGCATATGTATATATCTGTGTATGGATGGATGGATGTAAATACGCATATGTTTATATATCGGTGTGTATATATGCAATGAAGTGCTGCTTGAACTATAAAATAAATTAGTTGCTTTATACCTCTTTCGAAGAGGAAGTCAACATGACGCGGACGTAAGGATCCCAAGAAACAACTGCATCAACTTTCTGGTTGAGCACAAAATTTCCGGATTTCCAATCAAGAGTACTTGACACATACTGGATGATGGAAAGACTAGGAAAACCCCCTTCCTCTTCGAAATATATAGAATCGCCTATCTTGGAAAATGATTCAATTCCTGCAAAGATAAAAAGAAAGAAAAAAAAAACTATTAATGATGTGAAGAACTGGAGATATCACTGATATATTAATGATGTTAGGAGAAAATTTTATCACACTTCCTTCATCATGAAAGTAGTAGTTAAATTATGGGAAATGATCCCCAACCTGTGCCATAGCAGCACCAAAACGAATCAAATGGTGTTCCCCACTTGTGGTAGCTTACAGCCTTAGACACCCCGCGACCTTGGGGTAGCATGTAAATCATCACTCCGGGCTCTGTTCCCCTTTGGATGCCAAGTACACCATTTGTGAGGGCACGCTCGTAGTAATCTGCGTATGCCACTTCTTTGGTCCATCTAAACAGGTGGCGAGAGACCTAAAACGCCACAAAAACATGTTATTCATTTCAAATAGGAAGAAAGGAACATTGATGCCATACAATTGATATAGATATAAGCCACATCTCATTAGTTAAATAGAAGTCAGGTCATAAGAGGATATCGGCGAAGGACCTTCAAGGATTGAAGAGTGGTGAACATACCTTCAACATGTTATAAGTAGTACAAGACTCTTCATTCTCTGTCTGTAACGTGTCTGCCAATCGTTTTGGGTTAGACCTTCTCGTAGGTATATGCAGCAAACCACAAGAAGGTAGAGTTAACACAAACAAACGAAGGTGATTAAATTAAACTACAGACAATTGCTTTAAACCATTCATCGGGAAAGCACATTGAACTAAGTACGTGAAAAAGATTATTTGATATGAAACAGCAACTTAAATCGGTAAAATGAGAAAGTTAGTACCAGAACTCGCTGACAGATGTTCCTCCTGTTGCATAGCTATGAGAAGAATTAACAATGTCCAAAAAGAAAGTTGCTATAGTCTGGCATAAAAAAAGATGAAAAAAATGCAATTAAATGTTTACTGAAGCATCGATAACCACCGTCATTTAATGAAGAACCACTAAACTATGGAAAAAGAAATCCCAACAGCACCTCAAATGCTATGGTTGTATAATAAACGGTACAGTACATCATATGGAATAAAAGCATATCAAGATATTTACCTTGTAAAGTGGATCACCCATCACTTCATATCGCATTTGAGCTCCAATAACAATCGGAATATGTGTATTAGCGTGGAAGCCTGATATATCATCAGCCTAGAAGTAAAAAAGAAAGAAATTTTCAAAAGATCAGGAATTAATGTACATAGTATCATGTACATACTGAAGCTCCATGACATTGCCGAGTTCTCAATGGTTTAGATATGAATTACAGAACATCATAAAGTTGGTTTGGGCTAAATCATCTGGTTGCATACATACAAATCCAGCAGACTGACATAAAAATCAAGAGGTTTTAGACGAGAAGTCATGAAAGTTACCTGAACTGCAAGCAATCCTAGAAAACAAGGTTTGTCAAAAAGGTGAGCCAACAACAAATGCTGCGGATCTCCCTGCCCAAAGTAACATGAAAAACTCATCACATAGAAATCATAATTATCGAAGAACTCTACGTTGGGAATGAGAGTGCTAAGAATGCCGACAAGTCTGAATGCTAGATGACAAAATTTACACCCTAGAAAAATTCTGGATTAAACAATTTTTCTCCTTTTGAATAAATTTTGAGGGTTAACGCATAGCATAATAGCAAATTCTATTTGTATTAGACCCTCATGAAAATTTCTATCAAGTTCACAAGCCTTAAAATCTGGTAAGATGGCACTGAACATCGGTCATATTAGGAAAATTTTATGCAACGATGGTACTACTTTTTCCAAAGTTGTGTATTTTCTTCATAATTGATTATCAAGCTCATAAGCATGGATTAGTTCGATTGACATGCCATTAACATTCAAAGCTTGCTTCTCATCAGCCATTTGCAAGTGAACATTTGAAGCATATTACGATATGCACAAATAAATTTATGTTTCCTGAATATTGTACTCAATGGAAGTTCCAAATGCGTTAAAATCTGGCTATGCTGGAAAGCAGTCAAATCAACCAAGGAGATTGACAATTTAAAACCACGCCGATGAAGTAAAGAACTAAGGTAGCTAAAGGAATTATAAGAAACAGTTTCCTCACCGTTATGGTAAACAACCTATAGAGGACATCATTCATGCCACCAGTTTCTTCATTTAGTGACAGCCAATGTCTCTCCACACTGTGCTTTGTAATCACATTCTGAACACGGCTATAAAAGTATTTGACCATCCATTTCATCATATCTAAAGATTCGGCATTATCAGCAAATGTATATTGATCCAGCAGACCTGCCAAGATCTGCAGAATCGACCCAAGTTCGGAGTTATTATTATGCATCTCCTTAAAACAGAACCCCACAAGTATATTTCCAAACCATTGAACTATAGAATTCACCTTGTGAATGGTGTAGTATGGGGCCCAGACGGGTTTTATTGCTTCGAAACGATCGAAAAGTTCAGACGGAAATGCCGAAAGATATCCCGTCCCCATCTTCTTCTGACAGGCAGATAAGGCGGAAATGACATTCGTCATCTTCTCTTTGAGAGTGTCATTGTGAGTGCTAGCCCACATCTGTGCTGTTGCACTCAAGTAATGCCCTTCAACATTCAAAAGACAGTTTCAGCATTAGAAATTCACAATCAACATGAAATAAACTTCGAAAAGTAGCAATAAACTCGAGAATCGAACTCACTTCAAGCACATTATAACAACAACAATACTTAATAGAATCAACTTCATCCATTCATTAAGCTTCTAAAGGTTCTAAAGTAACTCCATCTAAAAGAGCAACAAGTAACTAAAATTCATACTAAAATATGACAATAGTTCACAATAACAGGCAATATAATTAAGGAAACTGGATAGCAATGAAATCGAACTAAAGCGATGATTACCAACAAAATGACCCCGGAGTTCGACATCCGGGGCCTCCCACCCTCCATATGGCTTCCCAGGAGTTGGCAAACCAGCAGTTTTCCTAAAACTCCATACTAAATTATCCACATCAAGCATCAACAAGTACTCTAAGTTGGTTTGCTGTGCTCGCCAGTGAATCGAATTCGAATCCAATCGAACATCATGAAGTGAGACCTCTTTCAAGGAATCTGCAGCCAAGTTGAAACGACCAGGGTGCTTAATTTTCTGATACATCATTTGCCACCTCAATTCATCTTCTTCTCTCAAAATCTTCCTCGGTAGCAAATCAGACCAAGCAGAGTCATCGGTTGGGACTAAGTGGTAATGAGAAAACATCTCCTGTCTCCATGTTTCGTTATTGGATTTCAACAGCTCGTAACGAAAGCTATGCGATGATAACTGAGTCGGGATGTTTGTACACTCTTTACTCACAACACTACCTCCAAGTAGTAAAAAAATACCAATGGCTAGAAACAGAACAAATCCCTTCATTTTTCTTAGAATCAGGAGCGAAAATTCTCAAACTTTAAGGAGAAGCAATGATGATTATCCAAAACCCAGAAAGCAAAACCTTGTAGAATTGGATATTCCCCCACAAAGAAAAATCCAACTTTATCAACAAAAAAACCCAGAAAGCTATAAAAGAATTCAGTGAAGGACAAGAGTAGAAAAAGGCAGCAAAGACAGAAACTTGAATAATACTATTTCATGTAATAGTTTAAAGGATAGAGCAACATGTGACTCTCAATTCCCTGTATTTATACAAAAAAACCAAACAATCAAACGACAAATAAAAGAACCATCCCGTGAAAGATGAGAAATGCTTTTTGTCTTTGCATGGTAAATAACAAAGAAAAAACAGGATTTATACACTTGGAAAACAAGGAAAATTTACTAGGGGAAGAAGAGACAGAAAAGAATCACGGATACTGAATCATTTTTCAACGGGTTTGGTTTGGTATTGGGTATGTTGTTGACTGATACACAGAGAGAGAGGGAGTGGGTACATATATATGCAGTGAAAGAGGGAATTCATGAAGCAAGATGAAGAGAAATCTGTTATTTAAAGTGAAAGCCTACCTTTTATTTCAACTTCCACGGCTGTTATTTATGATATTTTAGTTAGGCTATGCCCATATATGCTAATTTACCTTAATAACACGCTGTAGAAAAATAAGGGTAAACTACATTTATAATTTTATATTTTTGAAATGAGTTTATGTTAATCAAGTGGATTTTGAGATTATTATAATTATTATTTAAAATAATAAGAAAAAAATCTAAATTTTTAGAAATTATAGGTGGAAAGTTCCAAAGTTATATGGCCAAAATAATTTTTTTTAAATCAAGTGACCAAATGTGTAATTCTTTTTAGAAAATTAATCTAAAAAAACTAGTCCTTTATAAATCATAAATAAATATCTTTTAAATTAAAGTAAAGCAATATATCATTTTTACCGCAATCTCAAATCTTAAACTAAACCTTAAAATCTTAAATCCTAAAACCCCTACACTAAACTTAAAATTGTAAATCCAAATCACTGAACACTAAATACTAAACCCCAAAATCGTAAATCATAAACCCTAAATCCTAAAGTTTAAAGCTTAAATCTTAAATCCTAAACTCATACTCTAAAAAAATATTGATTATTGAGTTAAAGAAATATTTATTTATGAGTTATAAATTTTAATTAAATCTAAGCCATTTATTTATTTAAATCTAATGGCTATAAATTGGTGTAAAACTTATTAGTTTTACATAGTGTAAGTGAATTTAACCCATATAATATATATGTGTGTGTGTAAATTACGTATTTAGTCCTTCAACTATTATTTTGGTTCAGTTTCAATCACTTAACTATTTTTTCCAAAAATATAACTAAAATTATATTTTGATTCTGTTCTAGTCATTATGTAGTTAAAAATTAATGGTGATGCTGACATGTCATCAAGAGATAATGTCACATCATCATTAAAAAAATAAAACTATCACATCAGTAATTTATTTATTTTTTTAATAGTTAGTGACCAAAATGAAACAAAAATGTAACGTTAATTATGTCTTTGAAAAAAATAATAGTTAGGCGATTAAAATGAAATCAAAATAATAGTTGGATGACTATAAAAATAGTTTACCCTATATATTACTATATAATCAAAACATGAATGATTAACAAATAAATGATCAAAGCTGTCAATATCTTTAGCTTCAATGCTTGCATTGATTGATTTTGATGATGGTGACTATATCAAAATTATGTATAGTCGAATTATCATGAGTATGATATACATTTTCGTCATCCATCATATATCATCAACTTACCATTGTTATAATGTCAATACTATACCAAGATTTAAAAATATTTTAAAATCAAATATCGTAATCTTAAATGAACAATCAAGTTATTACACATATAATCTCATGAAAAATATCTCAAGTAATAGTGGCCATATAAAATTGTTAAGGGAAAAAGTTGTTGGGTTTCCATGGTTTTCTTCAACGTTTATATTAGATGAGAAATGATGGACCACCGGGGGGCTTTCAATTGGCGAAGCAAAAACCCAGGGGCAAAACTGTAACCATATTTGATGCTAGGAGCCGATAGTGTGTTCGGATTTATATACGCCGTTGCTTTACTTGTTAATGGTTTTGTTTATAGTTTGTCTCTACGCGATCATTATTATATGTTATTTCAATAATCACGATTGTATTTATTTAATCTGTACTTATCAAAACGTTTGTTGATACGATTTTAATCAATAAATAAAATACCTTGTTTATGTTAAAAAAATACAATATATAATGTAAATAATTAGATATTTCAAAAATATAAATATATAATATCTTAAACGCAATCAAAACACAATCCTTACAAGTGTGATCCATGAAAATGCACATTGGTAGCACGAAATTAAGATATGCTTCGATAATTAATTTTGAGTGTTGCAGCAAACAAATAACTTAAACTAGGTGGTTCAACCGACGTGTTTCTAGTGAAGCAAATTAAGATATGTTTTTGACAATCTATTAGGATTTTTTTTTAAATTAATCACTGGTATCCGATCTATTACCCGACTAATCTAAATCGGATACTGAGAGCCGAGGGCGACCGCTCCAACCTAATTTGCTCCATTCGCAAACGTCTGAATTCGAACCTCTAACCTTATTTAAAGAATCTAATGTCTCATCCCACTACACCAACTTGTTGTTGGTAATCTATTAGGCTTTTAACTCAAGTAAACTCCTAAAAGCAAATTGGAGGGTGCATAATTGATGATTTAACTTCAAAACCTTATCGCTCCACTTTCGTAAATGGTCAGTCGTTCATTTGATGGAACAGCGGGTTGTCGCCTTAGTTGACTTCAAAGATAAATATTTAAAAGTTTCTTTGATTATATGGAAGAGTGAGTTTATCAAAATATAATTATATGATTAGTAAATTCAAAAGAATATATTATAAAGTGTAGGTCGAAGATATATATCGATAAAATAAAATATATATGTCATAGGGACGGAGTCATGATCATATATCGGAAGGGATAAGGTATATAAGTTTAAAATAATAAAGATTTATTATGTATTTAATCTAAAAAATTGGGAGGAAGGGGAAAAATTTTATTTTTTCTTAAATTTAAATTAATAAAGACCTAAAACGATATTATAAATTTTGGGAGGGACAAGGACTCTTCCCACGTATTTTGTCCCTGTATGTCAGTAGCTATTCCGATTTATCATGATCATCATTTTTTAAAGCAATTAGATAAAAAACTGGTGATCAAAACGGATCAAATATTTAAATTTAATGATGATTTTGAAAAAAAAAGATAATTGGATGATTAAAACAGAATTACATGAATAGTTGAGTGACTAAATATGTATAAATTGTATAAATAAATTATTTATTGTTCATATTTCTACTTAGAAATTCTTTAATTTCATGTTCTTTTTTACCAACTAAAAACAAAGGGGTAAATTGTTGAAACACATTCATTTAATTGAATTATCAACAATATTGTAGGTAAGAAATGAACATCAATGGAAAAGGATGTGAACATAGAATGGGCTATAAGTATATATTTCCCATTTTATTTTATTTTTTTCCATGGTAGAAGCAACCGATTACTTGTGCTCTCAAGTCAAAATAGTAAAATATACAATAAATTACATAATTATCACTTTCGCTTAAACTTGGTTTTATATAAAAATAAGTGTTCGAACTATATTTAAAGTTGACTTTTGGTGTCGAAAGAATTTTTCGTTAAAAATATGTGTCTAACGTTGTTTTCGTTACACTTTTAGGTACATACCGTTAAAATCCCGTTAAATAAAACGTTTCATGTTTAATTTTTTTTTAAATATAATATTTTATTTTTAAAAAAATAAAAATGAGACGTGTCACTTAGTAATTTTTTACGGTGGGCACTAAAAAGTGTAACAAAAAAAACGTTAGACATATATTTTTAACGAAAAACTCTTTAAGCACCAAAAGTCAATTTTGAATATAGTCTGGGCATTTATTTTTGCATTAAGCCCTTAAATTTTTTAATTTTTTTTACCGAATTAAAAATATATAATATTTGATTATTTTCATTTTTCTTTAATTAAAATGTGGTAACTGAGAGTTAATTATCGTTAACATTTAACAAATTGTTATTCTGACACAATAAATATAAAAAATTAAAAAGGTAAACTACACAACAGTCACTAATGTTTGAATAAACTTTCGTTTTCTATTAAAATTTTAAAAGTAATAAATTTTTCATTGACAGTAATAAAAAGCTTAATATTTAATTTTATTCTTAAACTAACGATAAAACAACAAATAGGTATTTGAACAATGATTTCTACTATTTTCCTTCCTCGCAAATCAATTGCATCGATGCTTCTGAAATCAACTGCATCGATGCTTCTGAAATCAACTGCATCGATGCTTCTAAAATCAACTGCAGATTCTATCATCCGCCATGGTAGTCTTCGATCAAGGTAACAATTTCATCGGCGATCAATAAGCCGTCTTGGGTTGGTGCTATTTAAAGGGTAGTTCCATGAATATAATGGAGGTGGTGAGGTGTTTGGGGGAAAATTAAAATCATTTTAAAATAAATTAGATATAAAATTATCGTTCAATGAAAATAAATCCATTAATTACTAAAAATTTCGAGTTATTCGCGATTTGAACTTAACTTTTTTTCTAGTCGAGTCTAGTTTATAAAATTTCAACTCGAAGTCAATTCGAGTTTTTTCGAATCGAGTCGAAAAATTTAATTTTTTGAGTCTACGTTTTGCTCACCCCTACTTAGTATGATGTGCTACCGAGCTCAATCATTGGATCTGATGATGATTTAATGGTTGAGATGAAAATCCTAGATGTCAAAGAAGATGAGAGCAGCCGTCGGCAAGCCCTAACCGTTTGATCCAAATAAGATCCAACGATCGTGATGCATGTTTTTTTTTTCCCATCGGCCGAGGACATGTCACCAGTGATCCCAAATCCAATTTTCAACTAACAAATTAGCACACATGAGGCTAGATTTGTTCGCGCCAGTCGCCAAAGAGACGATGGTTCCCGAATGATTCACGCATTGTTAGTCACCATGCACAAGCAAACAAAACAAAAACGAGTTGTAAAATTGATGCAAATAAATTCTTCAAAATATTTTTTTTTCATGCGAGACTTGCTCTAAATATAAATTAATTATTCAGTCATCACCGGCAAAGATATAATATGAATCTATTAAATTTTTAGAACGATCACAGGGTGATATTTGTAGGCACATATATCCTTCTTGTTGGACCATTTATATGTGTTACGGTTTTAATAATTACGCTGACTAGTTGATCCCATCACATGTATCCCTATTATCAACTTGTAATTTGTCGTTTGCAAGGTTATTTGCTCAGTTCATCAAATTATGAGTACATTTTTTAGATTTTTTCATAAATACAACTCATCTTGATAATGTTGGTGAATCCAAATCTTAAACTTTCAATTATTATTACATGTCTATTGGAATAAATATTGAATATCTTGTAGTCAGGGTTGTGAATGAGACGAGACAGATCGTAAGTTTCTCAAGATATACTCGGTCAAAGCTCGATAAATACTTAAATCGAATGGACTCGAGCTCAAGCTCGACTCGAGTTCTTAAAGAGTCTAAACGAGCTACTTGATACTCGACTTGGAAAGCTTGTGAGCAGCTCTAAAATATAAAATATTAAGATTTTATTTTTTTTAAAAGTAAATTATTAATAATATTAACATTTATGTGTTGATTTTTTTTAAGTATAGTATGAGATTTTCATGTGCTTAAGGTTCATGTTCGAGTTTGAGTTTGAAACTTTAATTGAGTTAAGTTTAATATTTTTTCTTTTCGAACTTTTATGAGCTTCATTTCATGATTTCGAGTTTGAGTCGAGCTTCAAAACTTTAGGCTCGCGAGAGCTAGAGCTCAGTAATACTCGAGCTTGACTTGACTCGTTTAGAGTGCTACTTGTAGCTTATGTCTATATAGAAAAGTTATTCATTAAACGACTTCAATTAATTGTAAGACCATTGCTTATGAAATCCCAACTTTCGGTTTCTTCTCGGTGATATATCAATATTACATGCAACATCCCTAATTCATTTAAGTCATGTAAGGCTAACAGATTATCATAAGTTATCCCCATTACAAATAATTTTTCAGTTAAGAAGCAAATATTTTCATCTAAATTTTTTGAATTTGCGGTATATGTTCTTATTTTTCCTCCACGACCCACAAAGATGGATCTTTAAAGGAGATTGAGAATATAAGTGGCGATCTTGTGTATTTAAGCACAGATAAACTTATAAAACAAAACATGAGAGTCTAAATCATTAATATAAATGAAAGTTTATGGAGAACATAGCGAAACCTCAACCCTCGGTAATCACTAGGGTTTACTGAAAACCAACTGGTGATTGCTTGTGGTAATAAAGGCATGCCTTTCTCTTATTACACCAACAACAAACATATGCCTCCATCTTGGATAAAACCAAATAAAAGTGGAACTGCAAGGCGAGTAAAGAAGCAACTACTGTAGTAATATTTTGTCATACGGAATATAGATGGTGGGAGCGGAGACCTGAAAATTTGAGGAGGTAGAGGTAGAAACTTGGAGATGAAACAAGATGGAAAGATGTGGGGACCTGTAAACGGAGGGAGAGACTAGAGATTACTTGTAATATGGGGGAGGTGGCTGTGACTTGTACGTGTATGGAGGTGATGGAGGTGACTCATAAACATATGGAGGAGGTGGAGGTGACTTATAAACGTACGGAGGTGGAGGAGGTGATTTGTACTTATACGGAGGTGGAGGAGGTGATTTGTATATGTACGGAGGAGGAGGTGGTGACTTGTACTCATATGGAGGAGGAGGAGGTGATTTGTACTTATAAGGAGGTGGAGGGGGTGACTTGTATACATATGGAGGAGGTGGTGGTGACTTGTACTCATATGGAGGGGGAGGAGGCGATTTGTACATGTACGGAGAAGGTGTTGGCGATTTGTACTCATATGGCATAAGTGTTTGTGATTTGTAAACATATGAAGGAGAAGGAGAAGGTGAATAGTACTCGGGAGATGGTGGAGACTCATATTCGTATGGTGCAGGTGCAGGTGATGCATAGTAGTACGGTGGTGGTGAGTAGTACTCAGGAGATGGTGGAGACTCATATTCATATGGTGCAGGTGCAAGTGATGCATAGAAGTACGGAGGTGGTGGTAGTGATAGAAGAGGAGGAGGATCACCATAAGGCTTGTCATCGGCCGATACAATGTTGATTATCAAGCACCATACCAAAGCAAATGCTAAGTGTGGCCAAATCTTGGCCATTTTGGGCAGAACAAGACACTTAAAACTTCCACCACTTTGCACTTCTACTCTACACAAATTAAGGATGATTTCCATTACTATTGTGTGCAATACACGGGTGGGCTTGATAGCTTTTATAGTGAAATCCCCAATAACCAAATGAATTTTAAAATGACGTGCGAAACTTCATGACCCTAATGTATTATTGATAATAGTAATTTTAAAATGAATCTTTGTACTTGAACAAGTTCTCTCCTAGACCTTAATGTATTATTGACTTGTATTTGGTGTTAGGTAACTTATGAACCAGTTCTCTCCTAGACACAGTCAAAATGTAAAATAAAAGTTGTCAGTTTTCTAGGTTTAAAATAATATGTAAGAGTGACATAAAACTGAAGCAGTAGGAGAGTGCAGGCTCTTGATTAACCAAAAAAACGTTTAAGAGAGTACTTTATTATTTAAATCAAATTTTACCATGCAAGAAAAATTAGACCAGACTTGTTCTCGGTTTGGTAAGCCACTAGTGGAATAAAAATTATTTGCAAAAATTCAACGAAGTTATATTCTAGCTTTAATTGAATTATCATGCTCATCCTTGTATACAAGTAGAGAGTTTATAAAACTGAATTAATATGTAGGATTATTTTGGTCATTTGTAGGTCAAACGACCAAATAGTTATGATCGTTAAATCTTAAATTTCATTTTGATAGATTATATGAGTTTGTCAGATGTTTTGTTTATATAATATGTTCGATGTGAGGTTCCGTGCTCGAAGAATATGAGTTTTTTGTTGACTATGATAAATAGAGAGATTATATTTGTCGAAAACTTAAAAATTTATGGAAGTCATATTCGGAGATATAAGTGTCTCATTTTACATGTCTCGTAAAATTACAAAGCTGGGTGTGAGATGATATATTGAAAAGCTAAGCACTTCTTTGTTTTATTTCATTTCTTTTGCTTTGGAGATACAATTCATTGACTCTTAGCTGTTGATCGGTTCAACTCACTAATTTACATTGTATTTAGAGTATTACTGGTTTTCATAGGTCACGTCCTATAATTATTCCGTAAAATAACAATTTTTTTAATATACTATTTAATTAAGAGTTTAACATTTCAAAAACGTCGAATAAAAGTTTAAAACAACTTCAGTCATTTACCCAACAGGAAGTCTTTAACAATTTCAACAATATTACTAGAGAAATTTTTATTATAGTTAATCAAACAAGAATCTCCCTCTTTCTTCTTCTTTTTTAATTAATCACTGATATCCAATCTATTGACCGATTAATCCAGATCGAATTTTGCGGTGGTGACTTATACCTGTATAGAGGTGGAGGAGGTGGTGATGGATACACGTATGGAAGTGGAGGAGGTGATGCATAGTAGTACGGTGGTGGTGGATCACGTCCACAAGAATCGTGATCGGCCGCTACATTGCTGATTATCAAGCACATTACCAAAGCAAATGCCAAGTATGGCCAAATCTTCTCCATCTAGGGCAGAACAAGACACTTAAATGTAATTTTCACTACTTTGCACTTCTATTGTGCGCAAAACAATGGCGAGGTTGATGGTTTTTAGTATAAACTACACATTTAGTACATAAATTATTAATTTTGATCCCTTTTAATATCCCAAACTTTTAATTTTTTTAAAACGATACTTAACGTTTAATATTTGTTTCATTTTAGCATCCTACTGTTGAAAACTTAATCCATTTAGTACCTAAACTATTAGTTTTGATCCGTTTTAGTACATAAACTTCCATTTTTTCAAAATTAACATTAAATTTTGAACAGTGTACTAAAACGAAACAAAAATTAAATTTTAAATATAACTTTTAAAAAATAAAAACTTAAGTATTAAAACGAATAAAAAACGGATAATTTAAGCATTAAACATATAATTTATCCTATCTTTATAGTGCAATATCCGATAACCAAATGAATTTTAATATGAGATACGAAATTTGAGGAATGGATGTCACATCCCACTTGCTTCAGTAAGATTTTTGTAATTGAACCTTGAAGCAGTCTGAAAATTTCTGAACCAGTTCTCTCCTTGACCTTAATTTATTTAATAACTAATTGTATTTGGTGTTACGTTTATGAACCAGTTCGCTCCTAGACACAGTCAATGTAAAATAAAAGTCGTCAGTTTTCTGGGTTTAAAATAATATTTAAGAGTGACATAAAACTGAAGCAGTAGGAATGTGCAGGCTCTAAAAATTGTTTGAAAGTGTATTTTATTATTTAAATCAAACTTCGCCATACTTAATTATAGAAGACTTGCGTTTTGGTAAGCCACTAGTGGCATAAAAAATTATTTGTAAAAAATCAACTACTTGAGCTATATTTTAGCTTTAATTCTAGGGTAGACTACACTGGTTACCATTAAACTATTATCGGTGATTAAAACTCGACTCGACTCAAAAATCGATTTTTTCAATTCGATTTCAAAATACTCAACTCGAATTTTTTTTGTTTTTTGCTCAGTAATATAAAATTTTATTTATTAAAACTTAAATTAATTAATAAATAAACATATAATTATGATACTTAATGTTAATATAAAAATTTAATTTAAAATTAATCACTTCAATTTTAGATATGAGAAAAATTTAATTTAAATTTAAATTAATTTAATTTTAAAATAACTTTAATAAATAATTTAATTAATTCAAATTTAAGTAACTAATTTTAAACATAACTATTACGATATTATTAATGATATATATTTATAATCCAATTTTAAGAATTATATTAGAACACTTCATATATGTAATTTTATCTTTCAGATAATTTAAAATTTGTTGCGGCGTAATTTATAGCGTGTTGCGGTGTTAGGTAACGGTTTTTGACCGCAACAATCATGATACGATTTCCTTATCGCGTTGCGCTGATATTGCGTCGCGGTAACCTTAAAAAACGTTACAATACGGGCATTATGCTGCGTTGTGGCCGCAATTTAGTACTACGATGCTAATCTCTCATAAGCAGGACGTTGAGTTACAACCTCTCTAAATGAATTCAAGAGTTCAGTCAGTCGTACTGCGGAACCTATCTCTATTCCATCATCCTTAACATTTAAAATATTGAGTTCAGGAACATGTGCAACAGAGATCAAAACTTTATATGGAATTCTCTTCAGCCTCATCTCGATACCAACTTGAGTGTTACCTACTAGCAATTTTACATTCGGGTATTTCTCCTTCAACTCAAGCACATCTCTAATTGTTAAGGGACGATACCATTTAAGGCCTCCCAGTCCACTCAAATTTAAAGGAGTTAATTTCCTTCGTAACAGCTCAGGAGGAAAAATAAGTTCTTTATCTGTATATGTGCTTCCATCTACCTCACTGTTAAATAAAGGTTTATACCTAGTACCATCGACAGATTGATCGTTGGTGTCTACATCATGTACAGTTTTCGACCCACAGGAACATGGCTTGCCTGTTGAAGGACAAATAAACGAACCTTCCTGAAGGCTAAGTAAAGATGTATCTGCATATAATGCATCACTAGTTTTAGAAAAAAATTCGAAATGAATCAACAATTGATCTGTAACCAGTGTAACGACACAAGTTTCCAGCAAGAGATTCTTCAATTAGCTCTTCGGTAGGAGGTGTTTTACTTGACCGCAACAATGCATACAATGACATGATAAATCCAGGACTGCAAAACCCACATTGGGAGCCATGAGAACGTGCCAATGATTCCTGCAGAAATCTATGAAAGTCGCAATGGAATAGTGGAACATTCTTTCCTTTAAGGATTCTTGTTGGTTTTTATAGCATATTTCATATATATGTTCAAATCATTTGAATCAGACATATCGTAGTTCCTCTTATCTTTCCTGTAATCTTAACAATACTTTTATCAAACTAAGTTTTTAAAAAAAAGGGTAGTAGCACAATTTTGAAGAAAATTAAAATCCAGATGTTTGGAATTGCCGTTAATGTCTATGGTATGCTCTTTTTGCAGGTTGTTGGTGGATTAGGTCTTTCATGGCAAATGTCATTTGGCATTCTGGTTTTTCTCTATTTCTACACACATTACTTCTTTGCCTGTGTAGACGCTCATATCGGTGCGATGTTTAAGGCCTTCCTGTCTGTGGCTAGTGCTTTGGGTACTCCTTCGTATTTGGGAGCCCTTGTTCTATCATTCCTCTCCAACCTTAAGGGCGGCATTACTCATTACGGCATCGGATCCGCACCAGTTTTCTATGGGGCTGGGTATGTACCATTAGCCAAATGGTGGGGTCATGGATTCCTGATATCCATCGAGAATCTGATCATCTGGCTCGGAGTTGGAGGCATCTGGTGGAAAGCTCGTAGTAAGGCAAGTAGTCATTAAAAGTTGCAAACAATGAGCTACAACAATTTCTCACCCAACTTTGGAGATTACAGCTTCTTCTTCACATCGAAAGCAGGTTTGTCTATGATTCTTTACCTTCCAGAAATAATCTTACTGCTGGGCTTTAGAGAGTATTGGAAAAAGAACATGCATTTGACGTGCAAGTGGACAAATTAGAGCAATACCACAAATTTTGCATTTATATGAAAGATTGTTGGCTCGAATGTGAGTATTTTGGTTTATGGTGATGCAGTTACAGTAAAAATTGTGAGTATTAGGACATGGCGAGTTATATGACATGGCGAGTTATATGATATAAAACTTGACCCGACCCGTTCCGAAATTTTATATCATATAACTCGCCATGTCCTAAGCCTCGAAATTAAAAAAAAAGCTCCTATAAGATCGGGTCAAGACCCGGGTTCGAATATTTTGATCATCTCTAATTATACAAGTGGAGTAGAAATTGAATCGGTTCAAGTATTATATAAGATCGGGTCAAGACCTGGATTCGAATATTTTGATCATCTCTAATTATACAAGTGGAGTAGAAATTGAATCGGTTCAAGTATTAATATAAAAAGAGTTCATTGGTAACAACAGTGAATGCCATTAGCATGCCTCTCTTTAATAAGTTTCTACTTGTTTTTTTAATATTTAAACATTTTCTGTATATATTTTCATTCACTTTCTAATATAGTATTAGATTTAATATTTTAGAATTACTGCAAGTGGAAGTGGTAGTGCGAGTTCAGGTTTTTTAAATAAACAAACCCAATCTTTGTAGTTTAATATTTTACAGGGGAGTATGGACCAGTAGGAGATGGCGTGGGTAGAATCGTTTACAATTTGACATTTGAACGTTTACAACTCTAACGTTGTTGATGTTCGAATTCAAGACCTCAAAAAATAATAATAATTATTTTATCATCGAGATTTCTTGATTTGTGCTTCTCACCATTTTTTACGTTACGAATCACAATCATTTACCGCCTTTTAGATTTTACGTATCCACAATAATTGTTCTTTTCCCCATGGTTAAGCCAAACACACTTTGTCAAAATTATTTTATTTTTCATTCATTTATTAATTTTAATTATTTAGATAAAATAATAAACGAACATATTTTTTTGTCTTTAATCTCTTTTATTTTATTTTCTATTGATAAGTTAAAATAATATAATGTATAAAACAAGATTTAATTTATTTGTGAAATTACACTAATAAACTTGATCACTGATTATATTTAGTGTAATTAGAAAAAAAAATTGTTAAGCCTATGATATAATCTCAGCTTCTTAAAAAGAAATTATCAATGCAGCATACGCGGTTTCCACTTCATTCACGCTATGAAAATTCATATATTATCGAGAAAACATTTAGTGCTCGGAGTAAAGTGTACAGTTGAAGCTCACGTTAATGGTTTTTCAAGGCATGATAATAGAAGTATCCTTAATGTTTGTATAAATAGTTATTTTGTCCTCATCTTTTTCTTAAAGCATTTTATTGAACGTTTCATTTTAATATAAAATAACCCTTGATTGGAAGAAAATCGTTAGTTTACTAGCGATTAATGCTTCCAAAAAAAAAGATCGGGGGTAAAGTAACTATTTGTGCAAATATTGGGGTAATTTTGTTATTATGTCTTTTCTAATATATTTTTATCTTTTAGGGTAAAGTACACAAATGACTCCATGACTATAGAGTATTGCTTTATTGAGTCATCTGCCTATTAAAAGTTACAAAATGATCATCTGACTATAGGACGTTGCTTTTTAAGTTCACTGACTATTAAAAGTTATAAACGATCACATGACTATTTATTGTGTTCCAGACTCGTATTTTTTCATTAGAAAATTGATTGTTGTTTGAACTAGACGTTACATGCTGAGTGGAATATGGTAGTCGTTTGAGGTTATGGGTTCATATTATATCACATTTCAGTCATTAGGTTAACGTCCAACTCAAATTGACATCAATTTTTTAACAGAAAATGATGAGTTTGGAACACAATGAATAGTCGAGTGGTCATTCTGTAACTTTTAATAGTCAAGGGACATAAAAAAGCAGCGTCATATAGTCAGAAGACAACTTTGTAACTTTTAATAGTTAGAATACTCAATAAAACAATACTCTAT